TAGAACGTGGGCTTTGGTGGACTTAGGTCCCAGCCCAGTCACTACCTACTATGATTTCGGGCAAACTACTCACCTCCCTGAGTCCCCTCCCCTGTCTTTCTAGTGAAGACACATTTCCCTGAGTCTGCTTCCTTACTTTTGTCACAGAGTTGCTGCGAGGATGACATTAGATAACACAGGGCCTAGCACAATACTTGGTAAATATTTATTTTTAGCTGTACTAATACCTGACACTACCTGACATCTATTTTGTTCTTTACTGTTTTTGAATGTTTTTATCATACACTTTCCTACTTGATTCTCATAATAATCAAAACCATGAGAAATGCAAGGCAATGATTTTAATTCCCATTTCACACATGAGGAGAAGGAGTCTTGGAGGAAACTGGTCCAGGGTCGCACAGCTAATCGAGGTCTTTCTTTTTTCTTTGTCCAAGGCCATTATACCTCCACACCTCCAAATTCAGAAAGAGCCTGGCTAAACGAATCCCTTCTCTATTTTTACGCACATTTTGGGAAGCCAAAATACCTGATATAAGTTCTCTTAGTTTCTAATACTTATCTTAGTTTCTACCTTTTGGACATAAGCTGGTATGAAAACGTAAGAAAGAAAGAGGAGAAAACAACATAAAAGCTAATTTTGTAGCTGGTCTAGAAGCTAGATAAAACACGTACACCTAGGTACACTTAGTAGCAAAATTTTTTTTTTGCTAAACATTTATTATATTTTGAAAATAAAGTTATCCTGCAGTAAAATATCAAAAATATATACATAGAATAAAACACATACACAATTTAAAATTTGGCTATAAAGCCAAATTGCAGCTATGAAGCTTAATTCGGAGTTCCCGCTGAGTTTTTACTAAGAGAATAAATTTTGCTGGTCTATTAGCTCCAAATCTCCTACAGGGAATAGCAACAGAAGTGGGGCCGGGGGAAGGTACACACCTGGAGGGCTCCGAGGCTGCCTGGGTGGTAGTACAGTATAACACATTCTTTCATTACAAGACGGGGTGATTTATCTAGTCAGAATGGTGGCCAGTTAGAACTCCCTTAAGTGCAGAAAAATATGAATAATTACCTTATGTTTTACAGTTTCTAAATCCTAAATTTATAGCCATCCCTTTACAGGGGTGACTTTTTCCCTTTTCTGTGTATCTCCTTCCCTTGCAAACTTTCTCCTTCTCAGTGTTATAATCATTAATGCCTTTGAAATGCCAGCCTTGGGCAGAGATATATGAAGGCCAAGGGAATAGAAGGTAGGCCACGCAGGGACCATCACAAACAAGGCTTTGTGTGACAGAGACGGGCCAGCCTGGGAGCATGCACCCTGTGGAAGGCACTGACTGGTCTCTTCTGGTTGTCGTGTCCTCCTCTGTCTTTCCTTATTTGGGGGGTGCGGCTGGGGAAAATATTTAGATTGTGTTACTGACAGCATCCGTGGGCACATTATTTTACTTACCAAAATGATTTGGAAAATGAGGTCCTTAGGGAAAAAAAAGCCTTAAAACTGTGTTAAATGATATTTACAAATAATTTTCAAGTTATTTACCGGTTATAATCACATATAGACACTTACTCTGCCATTAAACTCCGGACTCTATTGGCAAAAAGGACAGGATCATTTTTTTCTTCATCACTTGGTACTTGAACAGGCATAAACTGAAAGACAAATATACCTTTCCGTGACAATCCTTAAGTCTAAGACAGCAAGTACTAAATAAATTACTATATAAACTATCACTATATTAAATCCCCCACTTTTCTAGAGCATAGGTTACATGACATAACAGAAGTAACACTAGGCTTACACTTAAGAGATCCCTATCCAAGCCCTGGTCTGCCTGTGTATTAACTAGTAAGTCATTTAACTTTGCTGAACTGTCTCCTCAACTCTAAAAAGAGGGCTATGATCACCTGCTTCCCTGGTGGTTGTGGGAGTGAAATGAGCCAATGTCTGGAATTCTGGAAACTGCAAAGCTGTAGCTACTATGATGTTATTCTCAGAGCTGTATCTTCTAACAATCACA